TAGAGACTGAACTAGAACTAGAACTGAACTAGAACTGAACTAGAACTGAACTGAACAGAACTAGAACTGTACTACAACTGAACTAGAACTGAATTAGAACTGAACTAGAACTGAACTAGAACAGAACTAGAACTGAAACTAGAACTGAACTAGAACTAAACTAGAACTAAACTAGAACTAGAACTGAATTTGAATGAAAATGAAAAAGTTATGTTCAAAGCTTAACTGTGAATTAGTATATTGTCTAAGTTAAACTTTAGTCAAAGTTCATTCCTCTGATCTTCCAAACCTTCTAATAACTAAAATTACCCTTTCCAACTTAACAACTACTCTGCAAGTAAATAAATATAAATGTTCTGTTTTGAAATGTGTGATTCATAAAATCTCCCCAAATCGAAAAAACAAGTAGCAAAAGAAGCAAAACAATACAATAAAATATGAATAAATTTAAAACAAAATACTGAACAAAAAAATGTGTGTCATTGGCCTTAAATAAATATAAAAAAAGCTTAACAAAATTTTAACATTTATTGATATACAATTTGTTTTCTTTTTTTATTATTGTAAATAAAATTGGTCTAAATGTGGATTAAGCCAAAAATAAAAGTAGGTCTTCTGTTAAGTTCGTTGTAAGTGTTAAGAGTGGAATTTTTAAGGAAATAAAAAAATTTATAGGGATTTTTATTAAATTAGTTTTCAAAGGCCCATAAAAACAAGGAGAAATCTTAAACAGAGAAGGCTGGATATAAAAATTTGCATAACTTTTGAGTTTATGGTGAGGCAGAATTGTTGTTTTCAGAGCCTTAAACGGGAGTTTAATAAAATTTTACAGCGTAACTAAAATGTTTATAGGATCAGAAATAACGGTGTTAAAAATCAACAAAATTAATGCATAAATAACTGAGTTATAGGCAAATGAAGTAGTGTATTAAAAAGTAATTTCTAATCAAATATTTTAAACTAAAATCAAATAAATCTAAACCGAGATTAAGTTTGACAGCTATATTTGGTTTAGATTCTAGGTTACATTTAGAGTCTGTTATAAAAATTTACTCCATTTAGTTAAGACTATTACGTCAGGAATTTCTTTATTTAGAAATATTCCAATAACGCAAACTTGCAACAATTATTACGTTTTAAATATTTGCCACACAACTTATTACATGGATGAGACAATTTTATTATGGCAACATTTATAAGCCACAAACTGGTATTTTTTCAAGCAACTAACTGCAACTGAAAAAAAAAAGAAAAACGAGAAAGAAAAATAAGTTGCGTAAGTTTTTCTTTAGCTCCTTTCTCCGCCCAAGATCCAATACAAAACCAGTAAGTAAGTGAATTGAGATTTGCTCTGTCTTCTGCTGCTACAGCTTGTCATAAAACTTTCAATAGTTGTTTGCCACAGACAGTTATGTTGTTGACTATACATTTATTTATGCAACATCGAAACGTCCGTCCGTCCGTCCGTCTCACAAGCTACCGAGAGTAGATGTTAAAGAATCATTGTCACTTTGGTTAGGAAAAAGCAAATTTTCTACATGGACTTATTTTATGGGTTGATTTATGCGAATGAGTAAGTTGACACACAAACACAGGAAGATATGCAGGAATAAGGAAAAAACAGCGATAATATGAATCGGTGGCCAGAATTATGGAATGAAAAGAAAAACTAGTTTTTTTATTTCATCCTATGAAGCAACAAGTTGTTGGCAGAATTATGAAAACTGGTATGATAATTTCTTTTTTGCTTTCCAGAAACGGTTTATTTATAAATTTTCAATGCTACTAGAAATAACATAAATTTGTCATATTTAAATAGTAATATTTGCAGAATAATGTTGGTGATAAATAGCTATCAGATAAATGAAATGAAGCTATTTGAAGATCTGGGCTTAAAGCTAAACTAGGACTTTAAACAAATCAATTAAAAACTATTTCAGTTCTAGTTCAGTTCTAGTTCAGTTCTAGTTCAGTTCTAGTTCAGTTTTAGTTCAGTTCTAGTTCAGTTCTAGTTCAGTTCTAGTTCAGTTCTAGTTCAGTTCTAGTTCAGTTCTAGTTCAGTTCTAGTTCAGTTCTAGTTCAGTTCTAGTTCAGTTCTAGTTCAGTTCTAGTTCAGTTCTAGTTCAGTTCTAGTTCAGTTCTAGTTCAGTTCTAGTTCTGTTCTAGTTCTGTTCTAGTTCTGTTCTAGTTCTATTCTAGTTCTGTTCTAGTTCTGTTCTAGTTCTATTCTAGTTCTGTTCTAGTTCTATTCTAGTTCTGTTCTAGTTCTGTTCTAGTTCTGTTCTAGTTCTGTTCTAGTTCTGTTCTAGTTCTGTTCTAGTTCTGTTCTAGTTCTGTTCTAGTTCTGTTCTAGTTATGTTCTAGTTCTGTTCTAGTTCTGTTCTAGTTCTGATCTAGTTCTGTTCTAGTTCTGTTCTAGTTCAGTTCTAGTTCAGTTCTAGTTCAGTTCTAGTTCTGTTCTAGTTCTGTTTTAGTTCTGTTCTAGTTCTGTTCTAGTTCTGTTCTAGTTCTGTTCTAGTTCTGTTCTAGTTCTGTTCTAGTTATGTTCTAGTTCTGTTCTAGTTCTGTTCTAGTTCTGTTCTAGTTCTGTTCTAGTTCTGTTCTAGTTCTGTTCTAGTTCTGTTCTAGTTCTGTTCTAGTTCTGTTCTAGTTCTGTTCTAGTTCTGTTCTAGTTCTGTTCTAGTTATGTTCTAGTTCTGTTCTAGTTCTGTTCTAGTTCTGTTCTAGTTCTGTTCTAGTTCTGTTCTAGTTCTGTTCTAGTTCTGATCTAGTTCTGATCTAGTTCTGTTCTAGTTCTGTTCTAGTTCAGTTCTAGTCCTGTTCTAGTTCAGTTCTAGTTCTGTTTTAGTTCTGTTCTAGTTCTGTTCTAGTTCTGTTCTAGTTCTGTTCTAGGTCTGTTCTAGTTCTGTTCTAGTTCTGTTCTAGTTCTGTTCTAGTTCTGTTCTAGTTCTGTTCTAGTTCTGTTCTAGTTCTGTTCTAGTTCTGTTCTAGTTCTGTTCTAGTTCTGTTCTAGTTCTGTTCTAGTTCTGTTCTAGTTCTGTTCTAGTTCTGTTCTAGTTCTGTTCTAGTTCTGTTCTAGTTCAGTTCTAGTTCTGTTCTAGTTCTGTTTTAGTTCTGTTCTGTTCTAGTTCTGTTCTAGTTCTGTTCTGTTCTAGTTCTGTTCTAGTTCTGTTCTGTTCTAGTTCTGTTCTAGTTCTGTTCTAGTTCTGTTCTAGTTCTGCTCTAGTTCTGTTCTAGTTCTGTTCTAGTTCTGTTCTAGTTCTGTTCTAGTTCTGTTCTAGTTTTGTTCTAGTTCTGTTCTAGTTATGTTCTAGTTCTGTTTCTAGTTCTGTTCTAGTTCTGTTCTAGTTTCTGTTCTAGTTCTGTTCTAGTTTTGTTCTAGTTATGTTCTAGTTTTGTTCTAGTTCTGTTCTAGTTATGTTCTAGTTCTGTTCTAGTTCTGTTCTAGTTATGTTCTAGTTCTGTTCTAGTTCTGTTCTAGTTCTGTTCTAGTTCTGTTCTAGTTCTGTTCTAGTTCTGCTCTAGTTCTGTTCTAGTTCTGTTCTAGTTCTGTTCTAGTTCTGTTCTAGTTCTGTTCTAGTTTTGTTCTAGTTCTGTTCTAGTTCTGTTCTAGTTCTGTTCTAGTTCTGTTCTAGTTCTGTTCTAGTTCTGTTCTAGTTCTGTTCTAGTTTTGTTCTAGTTCTGTTCTAGTTTTTGTTCTAGTTCTGTTCTAGTTATGTTCTAGTTCTGTTCTAATTTTGTTCTAGTTCTGTTCTAGTTCTGTTCTGTTCTGTTCTGTTTCTGTTCTAGTTCTGTTCTAGTTCTGTTCTAGTTCTGTTCTAGTTCTGTTCTAGTTCTGTTCTAGTTCTGTTCTAGTTCTAGTTCTAGCTCTGTTCTGTTCTGTTCTAGTTCTGTTCTAGTTCTGTTCTAGTTCTGTTCTAGTTTCTAGTTCTGTTCTAGTTTTAATTCTAGTTCTGTTCTAGTTCTGTTTTAGTTCTCTTCTAGTTCTGTTCTAATTCTGTTCTAGTTCTGTTCTAGTTCTGTTCTAGTTTCTGTTCTAGTTCTGTTCTAGTTCTGGTTCTAGTTTCTGTTCTAGTTCTGTTCTAGTTCTGTTCTAGTTCTGTTCTGTTCTAGTTCTGTTCTAGTTTGTTCTAGTTCTGTCCTAGTTCTGTGCTAGTTCTGTTCTAGTTCTGTTCTAGTTCTGTCTAGTTCTGTCTAGTTATGTTCTAGTTCTGTTCTAATCTGTCTAGTTCTGTTCTAGTTCTGTTCTAGTTCTGTTCTAGTTCTGTTCTAGTTCTGTTCTAGTTCTGTTCTAGTTTCTGTTCTAGTTCTGTTCTAGTTTCTGTTCTAGTTCTGTTCTAGTTCTGTTCTAGTTCTGTTCTAGTTCTGTTCTAGTTCTGTTCTAGTTCTGTTCTAGTTCTGTTCTAGTCTGTTCAGTTCTGTTCTAGTCTGTTCTAGTTCTGTTCTAGTTCTGTTCTAGTTCTTTTCTAGTTCTGTCTAGTTCTGTTCTAGTTCTGTTCTAGTTCTGTTCTAGTTCGGTTCTAGTTCTGTTCTAGTTCTGTTTCTAGTTCTGTTCTAGTTCTGTTCTAGTTCTGTTCTAGTTCTGTTCTAGTTCTGTTCTAGTTCTGTTCTAGTTCTGTTCTAGTTCTGTTCTAGTTCTGTTCTAGTTCTGTTCTAGTTCTATTCTAGTTCTGTTCTAGTTCAGTTTAATATCATACATAAAAAATGTATTATGTAGGCACATTCATAAAAGATCTATTAGAACATTTCCCTCAAAGATCTTTAATTGATTTGCTCTAAAAATGCTAAAAAAAAAATATTCAAAAAATTATTTATAAAATTTGCAAAAATTCTTGGCCAAACGCCAGACAGATGAATGCTAAACATTTCCAAAGCAGTCACATATTGAATACTACATTTAAAGAAATCTTAAAGATTATTAAAAATCGCTTATGACATTTTGCACAATTTATGACATTTTTCTCGTAATAATTCTCTCACAATTCTTTCTCTATTTCTAGATGTGGAGAACGCAATGATGAATCACGTATTGTAGGTGGCACTACCACGGGCGTTAGTGAATATCCCTGGATGGCACGCTTAAGTTATTTCAATCGTTTCTACTGTGGTGGTACTCTCATCAATGATCGTTATGTTTTGACTGCGGCCCATTGTGTTAAGGGTTTTATGTGGTTTATGATTAAGGTTACATTTGGAGAACATGATCGTTGTAATGATAAGGAAAGACCAGAAACAAGATTTGTTTTGAGAGCTTTTACACAAAAGTTCAGCTTTTCCAATTTTGATAATGATATTGCTTTGTTGCGTTTGAATGATTCGTGTTCCCATTACAAGTTTCATAAGACCCATTTGTTTGCCCAGAGCGGAGGAGAGAAATGAATTGTTTGTGGGCACTAAGGGTATTGCCACCGGCTGGGGTACTTTGAAAGAGGATGGCAAACCTTCTTGCCTATTACAAGAAGTGGAAGTGCCCGTGTTGGATAATGAAACATGTGTGGCTCAAACAAATTATACTCAGAAGATGATCACAAAGAATATGATGTGTGCTGGCTATCCCGGCAAGGGAGAACGTGACAGTTGCCAGGGTGACTCTGGTGGTCCTCTTGTGCGTTTGCGACCTGACGATAAACGTTATGAACAAATTGGTATTGTGTCTTGGGGTAATGGTTGTGCTAGACCCAATTATCCCGGAGTTTATACCAGAGTTACGAAATATTTGGATTGGATAGTAGAGAATTCAAAAGATGGCTGCTTTTGCGATGAGGATTTTGAAGGATAATGGAGAGTAATAACATTAAATAAGTAACTAAAAATAAGCAGGAAATTTTATTAAAGAAATTTTGATTTTGCCAACTAGATTTAAGAAATATAAAGGTACCAAAAGGAAATATTCTTTCATGTATCCTTTCTTATTAAGCATTTAAAATTGGTTACTTAGGGATTCTTTTATGAATTTAAAAATTTGTAAATTTTGTCTTTAAGAGTTGGCAGTTTGGATAATTTGTATGTATATTTATTGCCTTAAATACCATAGTCCCTTTAAACTTTATACATTTTTGATAAGTCTTAAAAAAAATAAACAGAAAATAAATAATGAAACTAAATATGTGTAATTTATAAAAAATCCATTTACCAAAATTATAGTGAGTAAGATTAAACAGTTCTAGTTCAGTTCTTGTTCAGTTTTAGTTCAGGTCTAGTTCAGTTCTAGTTCAGTTCTAGTTCAGTTCTAGTTCAGTTCTAGTTCAGTTCTAGTTCAGTTCTAGTTCAGTTCTAGTTCAGTTCTAGTTCAGTTCTAGTTCAGTTCTAGTTCAGTTCTAGTTCAGTTCTAGTTCAGTTCTAGTTCAGTTCTAGTTCAGTTCTAGTTCAGTTCTAGTTCAGTTCTAGTTCAGTTCTAGTTCAGTTCTAGTTCAGTTCTAGTTCAGTTCTAGTTCAGTTCTAGTTCAGTTCTAGTTCAGTTCTAGTTCAGTTCTAGTTCAGTTCTAGTTCAGTTCTAGTTCAGTTCTAGTTCAGTTCTAGTTCAGTTCTAGTTCAGTTCTAGTTCAGTTCTAGTTCAGTTCTAGTTCAGTTCTAGTTCAGTTCTAGTTCAGTTCTAGTTCAGTTCTTTCAGTTCTAGTTCAGTTCTAGTTCAGTTCTAGTTCAGTTCTAGTTCAGTTCTAGTTCAGTTCAGTTCTAGTTCAGTTCTAGTTCAGTTCTAGTTCAGTTCTAGTTCAGTTCTAGTTCAGTTCTAGTTCAGTTCTAGTTCAGTTCTAGTTCAGTTCTAGTTCAGTTCTAGTTCAGTTCTAGTTTAGTTCAGTTCTAGTTCAGTTCTAGTTCAGTTCTAGTTCAGTTCTCTAGTTCAGTTCTAGTTCAGTTCTAGTTCAGTTCTAGTTCAGTTCTTTCAGTTCTAGTTCAGTTCTAGTTCAGTTCTAGTTCAGTTCTAGTTCAGTTCTAGTTCAGTTCTAGTTCAGTTCTAGTTCAGTCTAGTTCAGTTCTAGTTCAGTTCTAGCTAGTTCTTTCTAGTTCAGTTCTAGTTCAGTTCTAGTTCAGTTCTAGTTCAGTTCTAGTTCAGTTCTAGTTCAGTTCTAGTTCAGTTCTAGTTCAGTTCTAGTTCAGTTCTAGTTCAGTTCTAGTTCAGTTCTAGTTCAGTTTAGTTCAGTTCTAGTTCAGTTCTAGTTCAGTTCTAGTTCAGTTCTAGTTCAGTTCTAGTTCAGTTCTAGTTCAGTTCTTCTAGTTCAGTTCTAGTTCAGTTCTAGTTCAGTTCTAGTTCAGTTCTAGTTCAGTTCTAGTTCAGTTCTAGTTCAGTTCTAGTTCAGTTCTAGTTCTTTAGTTCGTCTAGTTCAGTTCTAGTTCAGTTCTAGTTCAGTTCTAGTTCAGTTCTAGTTCAGTTCTATTTCAGTTCTAGTTCAGTTCTAGTTCAGTTCTAGTTCAGTTCGTAGTTCAGTTCTAGTTCAGTTCTAGTTCAGTTCTAGTTCAGTTCTAGTTCAGTTCTAGTTCAGTTCTAGTTCAGTTCTAGTTCAGTTCTAGTTCAGTTCTAGTTCAGTTCTAGTTCAGTTCTAGTTCTGTTTCTAGTTCAGTTCTAGTTTCAGTTCTAGTTCAAGTTCTAGTTCTGTTCTAGTTCAGTTCTAGTTCAGTTCTAGTTCAGTTCTAGTTTCTGTTCTAGTTCAGTTCTAGTTCAGTTCTAATCCAATTCTAATTCAGTTGCAGCTCAGTTTTGGCTCAGTTTGGATAATTACAAAACCCAACATTTTGAGCATAAAATTAACCAACCATTGCAATTAAATACAAATTATTTAATTTATAAATAAATTATTAACAATTGCTTAATTATTTAACCGTAATGAAAATTAAAAATTCATTAGTTTTTTTCAGGCCAAAACACTTTCATTTTCCTCCTATAAATATCTACTTCAAAACACTCATTCTATATACATTTTATTAACAAAATTCATTTAATTGTTAATTATGTTATGAATTTGCAATTATACTTTTCTTATCGTTTCATTTAATACCCTATCACCAACTTCATCTGTTTGTGTTTAACATCATCGTTTGAAGCTTTTAACATTTGTAGTAAAAAAGCTATAAAACAGCAGCTACCATACAAAACATACATATTTGCTATAGTAAAACGGTTTATTATGTAAACAAAAACGTCAGCAACAACAAGTGCATCAAAATGCAACTTATAAAAATAGTAAAACTAAAATTTTTATTATCAGTACAATGAATAACAAAAGTGGTGAAAACAAGTGTTGTTATTGCTGTTTTAGAATATAATGAAGAGTAAAATAAAGAGAGTAAAATCAAGTATGAAAAAATAAAGAGAATTTAATATTCAGAGAGAGAGATTTCGATGTGACGTAAATATTTTAACCCTTAATAAGGCATTCTTCTTTTTCTTTATATTATTTTTTGCCTTTTAAAGGTTAAACAGCATCCAGTAGTGTTAGTGGTACCATTACCACATAAGATATTATTTTTAGACTAATTACAATTAACACCACAACCACTCGACGACAATGAGTTTACAAAGCTTTTGAAAATGCAGCAAACAATTTATTATGTTTAATGACGCCTGTCACTTGTAGTCGTTATTGTAATTAAGCGGTTAATAAGTAAAGAACCACAACATTGTGTTTGATTTAATTATGAGTTGTTGGAAGAAGAAAACCAAGAGCGACTGCAGGTTTTTCGTATTTGAATACATTTTGGAGAGTCTTCTGTTAAAATTCTCACAAGAGAATTATTTTTGTTCTTACTGATGTTGTTGTTGTTAGTGCGGTGGGCTATTAAAGTTGTTAGTGTAATTTTTCGTAAACAATGACCAGAGTTGCCAGATTGGAAGAGTTTTGCAACACTAACTATTAATTACTACTTACTAACTACTAACTACTAACTAACTACTAACTAACTAACTAACTAACTAACTAACTAACTAACTAACTAACTACTAACTACTAACTACTAACTAACTAACTAACTACTAACTAACTAACTAACTAACTAACTAACTAACTAACTACTACTAACTAACTAACTAACTAACTAACTAACTAACTAACTAACTAACTAACTAACTAACTACTAACTAACTACTAACTAACTAACTAACTAACTAAACTACTAACTAACTAACTAACTAACTAACTAACTAACTAACTAACTAACTACTCTAACTACTAACTAACTAACTAACTAACTAACTAACTAACTAACTAACTAACTACTAACTAACTAACTAACTAACTAACTAACTAACTAACTAACTAACTAACTAACTAACTAACTAACTAACGAACTAACTAACTAACTAACTAACTAACTAACTAACTAACTAACTAACTAACTAACTAACTAACTAACTAACTAACTAACTAACTAACTAACTAACTAACTAACTAACTACTAACTAACTAACTAACTACTAACTAACTAACTAACTAACTAACTAACTACTAACTAACTAACTAACTAACTAACTAACTAACTACCTAACTAACTAACTAACTAACTAACTAACTAACTAACTAACTAACTAACTAACTAACTACTAACTAACGACTAACTAACTAACTAACTAACTACGAACTAACTAACTAACTAACTAACTAACTAACTAACTAACTAACTAACTAACTAACTAACTAACTAACTAACTAACTAACTAACTAACTAACTAACTAACTAACTAACTAACTACTAACTAACTAACTAACTAACTACTAACTACTAACTTAACATTAACTAACGAACTAACTAACTAACTACTACTAACTAACGAAGCTAACTAACTACTAACTAACATAACTAACTAACCACTACCGACTAACTAACTAACAACTAACTACTAACTAACTAACTAACAACTTAACTAACGAACTAACTAACTAACTAACTAACTAACTAACTAACACTAACTAACTACTACTAACTAACTAACTACTAACTAACTACTCCTAACTAACTAACTAACTAACTAACTACGAACTAAACTAACTAACGAACGACTAAACTAACTAACGAACGGAACTAACTAAACTAACTAACAACTAACTAACTAACTAAGAACGAACTACTAACTAACTAACTACTAACTAACTAACTAACTAACTAACTAACTACTAACTCTAACTAACTAACTAACTAACTAACTAACTACTACTAACTAACTAACTAACTGGCTTCTTTTTCTTCCTTCCCTTTAATTCAAATTGTCAATTCCTTTTCCCTTGTTTCTCCTTTGTAGAAATTCCATCTGGCAACTCTGCTGCAGATTTTTTTGTTTTCGTTTTTGTATAAACAAAAATAATTGTGATAAAAAAGCAACAACAACACAGTAAAAACAACGTGTAAAAGGTGGGAATTTACTTTGTTTTCTACTTTGCATGAAAATTCTAATTTGTTTCAGTTGGTGAAAAGGGGGTTTTAATAATTTTTAATAGAATTTGAACAATTTATTATATTTAAAATAAATAAATTTTACTTACTTTTTTCAGGTGTTTTTGTTGACTTTCTTATAAATTTTAAAGTTTTCTTTTCTCTAAGATTAGTTTTATCAGGTCACTGGGATAAAGATTTTTTCACTGATGTTTTTTCTTCACAACAAATTGTTTTGCAAAATCATGTTAATTTTTGTTTCTTTTTGTTTGCATCGCTCACAGTTAATGTTGCTGCAACCACTGATTTTGTAACTAAATTTTCTGATAAAGTGGAGTAGAGGGGGACTACTGGTGGTTACGTTGGAAGCAAAATTTACTTTGTTGTTATTGTTGTTATTGTTGTTGTTACGTGTAACTAAACTTTTACTTGTTGATTCATGTTTTTTTTCATTTAATTTATTTATAAACTTTTTTTCTGATTCTTTTAAAAGAAACTTTATTTTTACACAAAATGAATGGATGAGTTGTTATTTGTTTATTTATTTTATAATTTAACACACTTTTAATTTATATTATTTATTTTCTTATAAAGATTTAAATACTTTCTTTATTTTTTGCTAACAAAGGTTGACACACAAATTTTGTAGAAAAAAAAACACACACACAAT